AGTAAGAAAATGGCTACTAAAGGCCCATCAGAAGCTTTTGTGAGTGTTTGTGACAGAGAACTAGGTAAAGTGTCTATATTCTACTAATCTAATGTGATAGTTTCTCTCATTGTAATAGGTATTGATGACTTTTATGATGTGTATGATAAAATTGAGTCACTTTCTGCTCGTTGGAAGCCAATTGCCATTTCATTGCATATGAAACTGGACACCATCAGTAAAATAAGAGCTAATGCTAATGGAGATACGACTGCTTGTCTTCAAGAGGTTCTTGAGTGCTGGCTAAAGAAAGATTATGATTACGAACGTCATGGTGTTCCTTGCTGGAGGAGAGTGTGTGTGGCTGTTAAAAAAGGAGGTGACTCAGCATTAGCTGATGAAATAGCTCAGGAACATCCAGTTACTGAAGGGACTACCCCTCATACTAGAACTACTCGTGCTAGAGGAGCTGGTAAATAATATACTAAATTTCTCATAATTTTAAAATAATACTATGTACTTAGCCTAAAACCTAAAATTTTAAAATTTGAAAAAATCCTTTCTTATGAATTTTAATTTTTACAAGTTCCCTGTAAGTACATGTGATTGGATGAAACACCGAAAACTTCACAGAATAAGCTTCTATGAAAACAGCAAAAGTTGTGGCCCATAACTAATTGTATCACAGTCTTTATAATTAAAAAACATAATAGACAGATGGCTTTAAAAATATTTTTTAATGTGTTGCAAACTTTAAAATTCCCTATAAGTGGTTTTTTCAGGGAAATTATATTTCACAAATTCTGCTAAATTTTCAATTTACAAATTTTAATTTCGCAAATTCTACCACGTGCCATGTGAGTACCATATTAAATTGATTTTGCAGATTTTATTTTTGCAAATCTGTGAAAATTGCAATGATAAAAAAACTACTAATACGTGTAGAGTATCAAGAGTATATACTATCTAATACCTATTAAAAATTTTACAAAATTAGAAGCATTTGAATGAATTTCAAGGGTCAGGTAAACTTTATAATCATTTTTAGGTTCTACAGCCAGTATACCGACTCCCTCTATCTATGTTCCTCAGGCCATAACCAACTTTGAGCTACACAGAGAGTTATCTGAAATACAGGATCAATTTGCTGAAGCGGTTCAAAAAACAATAAAATATTATTCAAAAGAATGGTTGCCAGATCTTATCGATTACATCACAACACATATCACCACTTTACTCAGCCCTCATGAGAATACTCCAGATAAAACACAGGCAGTTAGAAAAGAGTTCAAAAATATAACAACTATAGAAGAATTATTTGGTTTACTGCAAGACAAGTACACGTCATGGTTCAAGCATGAACCAATAACAAAGCTTATTTATGAAAATGACACCAACCCGTATAGTGATTATGAGGATGAGAATGAATTCAACAAGGAGTTTGATGAGTATGGTTTTCCTAACCCTGACTATGTAGAAAAAGCACCAAGTTCTTGGTATCGATATAAAGAACGTTTACATAAATACTTTGAGAAGTGTGTTACAGTAGCTGATTCTGCTTTATATGGAATAACTGATGCTCCTCCTGGTAAACCAGTAATAATTGCTAAAGTTGATCGAGGTGACTACAATCAGAATGACCTCTACTTCTTACGCAAAGCAATACCACGAGGTCTTGACAAACCTGATTTGAAGCTCTACCTTTGCCAAGTTCTTCCTAATTAAGATTACCTGTAGGCTGTAGTTTATAATTTTTTATATTTTTGGTACATGTACACATTGACAACTACATGTGAACTGTGAAGTTACTTGCAATAAACATATTGCTATGATATTACTTTAGTATAATATTAATAAAAAACCACAAAATGAAAATACTAAAGAACAAAAACAATCAAGAATACATAGTGTTTACAGGAAGATTGGTATATAAAAAACAAGGACATACATCTGTAGTTATGTAATTTTTGTAAAATACCGTATAGTGCTTTAATTTCGAGGAGCAAAACTTTTGCTGTTTTTGCGGGTTAGCATGCAACAGCGAAATTAAAGATCCACTAATTATTTAATTGCCATTAAAGGTGTGGCATTAATATTGTGAATCCACAAACTTTTTTTTGCGAAAAATTGATTTTTATCAATCCACAAAATTTTAGCTCCACAAAATTAAAGCGCTATACTGTACATGTGTTAATTGTCAGTGTACTTGATTTATGATTTATTGGTGAGGAATTGATACTTGGGATTAGCGGTTGTATAAAGAAAATGCCAATATAAAATCTGCCATTTTGTTTTCATTTTTCAAATAATGATACTTAAAATACAAAGTTTTGACTCCAGGGTATGTACATATTCATGATGCATTGATAGCTGACCTTGTCTCCTTAGTCTGTGTATCCATCCGTTAACAGCAACACGAGTCTCACGATTAGCTGTGCTGTCACGTATCTTTATCTAAATATAATCAATAAAATACAATAGAAAATATATCTCACATATATATTATATAGATTTGATAAAAAGTGCTTCTAATTATCATACAGTTATATAAGTATTATTATTATCATTACTATTATTACTATATAAATGTTATGTTCTATTATTATTATTATCATTATTATTATTATTATTATTATTATTATCATTATTATTATTATTATTACATGTAATAAAATGAATTTTATTCAAAATTTTGACTATTACGTGTATATCATTATTAATATTATTATTTTTATTAATATTGTTGTTGTAATAATAATAATAATAATCATAATCATAATGGTCTCACAGTTTTAGCTGGGGGTAGAGATGGATCCTGCTCAAACTTGATCTGTTTTGCCTTTTCAAGATTCTCAGCACGACGAAGCATGTCTTCTTTCTACATAATCACAATAAAAATTAATAATAACACAATAATGATATTAGCTTATTAATATTATATTGGACACAGTACAATGAAAGAGGTATAAATGTTAGTGATTGTGTGTCTTACATCTTTCTCTTCTTTGGCTGCTCCTTTGTATTGCTCACGTTGGTATATCTTCTTAATCTTCTTTAACTGACTCAACGAGACTTCCTCATAACGCTAACAACAACAAATTAATAATAAAAAAATAATATTAATAATTAAAAAATAAAAATAACAATAAAAATAACAATAATAGTAATATTTACAGTGTAACTAATAGTTACTTCTTACTTTGTCATCACTTTTAGCGTCAACCATAATCAATGAGGATTCATCACTACCACCAGCTCTCAATGCCTACAACAACATAATACACATCATAGCAGCCATGAGCACAATTATAAGTAAAAGTATAAGTACAAAATCATAAGTACAATTAAAAGTACAATTTTGAGTACATAGGCATGTACCATATAAAAATTTTCGTCAAATTTATCAGGTATTTTTGTTTGAAAAAATTTTTGTTCCATGTGGGTAATATACAAAAATGACAAAATTTTTTTGACAAAAATCAATTTTAATAAGAAATTAAGATTTAGATGAAATTTTTGACTGACAAAATACAATATATACCTGGAGTACAGTCTTGAATGGTTTAGATTCAGTACCGTCACCAGTCGAATCATCACCTTCCTTGTCAGACGTATAATACACTGTATAATGATAATAACAATAATAATAATAATAACTAGACGAATGTAAAACATTAAGGGGCTCAGCCCCCTAGCCATGCTATATTTTAAAGGTTATATGGTATAGAGCTACATTATTGTACATGTACATGAGTAAATACAGTAGTTTGTAAGTTTGTAATGAAGTTATCATGCTTGGAAATACAAATTTTCTTTATCAGTTTATCACATTCTGCAGCAAAAAAGTTGTGTTGGAAGCCAGAGACAGTAACTGCAGTCATAGGTTAGTCAGTAGTTGTGAGGGCTTTACAAGCTCACAGTAGAGACTTCTCTTGCATTCTTGCTGACTCAAGTGAGTGACTTGTAACTTATAAGGTCAAGAACATGAAGAACAATGAAGAATTGATAGCTGGCGCCATTTTATTTC